AATAAAATCTCCAGGTAGCTATTCCTAGCTATTTTACTTGTTCATCTAAGATGTAGGCAATAGAACATTTTCAATAAATTATAAACATATACATTTTTTTAAATAAAGTAATAATTCATGTTAATTCCAGAGGTCAATGGCAAGAAAAGAAAGGCAACAATAAATATCTTAATTGTGTTGTATTTCCATTATATGGTTATTTGAAGACGCTTAATAAAATGTTGAAATTAGTAATGTAACAGTAGGCCTATGCATTGTTCTCTAATTTTAGCTTGGTATTTTTCATCAAATTGTTTTGAGAGCCCTTCTGAGAGAGAAGGGCAAGAAAAAATAATGTTGAGATGCTAAATACTTTTTGTTTCATGTAAGAATCTCAGATGTGTTGTTGTATTTTCATTATGGTTATATTTAAAGACATCACTTATCTTATTTAATTTCTCTGTTTTTATATCAAAATATAATGGAGTCATCAATTCTGTGCTTGATGTTTCTTTACTTTTTCTTCTGTATATTGTAGTCAGGGGGGTTAATGTTTATAGAATTGTAATAAAAACTTAAGCATTGGGATGATTCAGTAAATTGTTCCAGGATGAAAATTTTCAGAAAGTGTCCCACTTTAACAATTCTCACCCTACTCTGAATCAAACAGGCACAACCATGTTTTCCACATTGTGTGTACACTTTCACAGTTGTCTCTTTATGACCTGTTATCCAGGTGCTCGAATAGAGGAGTTCATCTATGACAAGCTGGATAAGAAGCTCCCTTCCAGGACGACTAATGCAGAGCTGCTGGGACAGTACATGCTGGAAGCTGCCAATGAGTTTGGTTCAGGGACGCCATATGGTTAGTGGTGCTGTTACTGAAACTGATAATGTTACATCAGACAGTTTTGATCTCATGAAGTACTTTAGGGCTTGGGATGCTTTCCTGAAGCAGCTTTCTTTCTATTAGCAACAGTCATGAACTAGTTGATAGATCGGTCTGTGACCTAAAACTCACATACCAAAAAGCAGCTATGAACTGCAGGGTGAACATCAGTCTGTACATTAAAGTTCAGTGTTGCAGGACTGAATTCTTTAAAGGTAGAATCATAAAGATTTTTATTACACTGAACAAAAATATAAACGCAACACTTTTGTTTTTGCTCCCATTTTTCATGAGCTGAACTCAAAGATCTAAAACATTTTCTATATACACAAAAGACCATTTCTCACAAATATTGTTCACAAATCTGTCTAAATCTGTGTTAGTGAGCACTTCTCCTTTGGCGAGATAATCCATCCCACCTCACAGGTGTGGCATATCAAGATGCTGATTAGACAGCATGAATATTGCACAGGTGTGCCTTAGGCTGGCCACAATAAAAGGCCACTCTGAAATGTTCAGTTTTATCACACAGCACAATGCCACAGATGTCGCAAGTTTTGAGGGAGCGTGCAATTGGCATGCTGACTGCAGGAATGTCCACCAGAGCTGTTGCCCGTAAATTGAATGTTCATTTCTCTACCATAAGCCGTCTCCAAAGGCGTTTCAGACAGTTTGACAGTACATCCAACCGGCCTCACAACCGCAGACCACGTGTAACCACACCAGCCCAGGACCTCCACATCCAGCATGTTCACCTCCAAGATCGTCTGAGACCAGCCACCCAGACAGCTGCTGCAACAATCGGTTTGCATAACCAAAGAATTTCTGCACAAACTGTAAGAAACCATCTCAGGGAAGCTCATCTGCATGCTCGTCGTCCTCATCGGGGTCTCGACCTGACTGCAGTTCGTCGTCGTAGCCGATTTGAGTGGGCAAATGCTTACATCCGATGGCATCTGGCACATTGGAGAGGTGTTCTCTTCACAGATGAATCCCGGTTTTCACTGTCCAGGGCAGCGGTTTGCTGCTGTCAACGTTGTGGATTGAGTGGCCCATGGTGGCGGTGGGGTTATGGTATGTGCAGGCGTTTGTTATGGACAACGAACACAGGTGCATTTTATTGATAGCATTTTGAATGCACAGAGATACCGTGACGAGATCCTCAGGCCCATTGTTGTGCCATTCATCCACGACCATCACCTCATGTTGCAGCATGATAATGCACGGCCCCATGTTGCAAGGATCTGTACACAATTCCTGGAAGCTGAAAACATCCCAGTTCTTGCATGGCCAGCATACTCACCGGACATGTCACCCACTGAGCATGTTTGGGATGCTCTGGATCGGCGTATACGACAACGTGTTCCAGTTCCTGCCAATATCCAGCAACTTCGCACAGCCATTGAAGAGGAGTGGACCAGCATTCCACAGGCCACAATCAACAACTTGATCAACTCTATGCAAAGGAGATGTGTTGCACTGCGTGAGGCCAATGGTGGTCACACCAGATATTGACTGGTTTTCTGACCCCCCCAGACCCCACCAGTAAAGCAAAACTGCACATTTCAGAGTAGCCTTTTATTGTGGCCAGCCTAAGGCACACCTGTGCAATATTCATGCTGTTTAATCAGCATCTTGATATGCCACACCTGTGAGGTGGGATGGATTATCTTGCCAAAGGAGAAGTGCTCACTAACACAGATTTAGACAGATTTGTGAACAATATTTGTGAGAAATGGTCGTTGGTGTATATAGAAAATGTTTTAGATCTTTGAGTTCAGCTCATGAAAAATGGGAGCAAAAACAAAAGTGTTGTGTTTATATTTTTGTTCAGTGTATTTCATACCCCATTTTGATGCAGGGAAAACAATGGCGGTCGAGTTACTGAGCTCAAATACACCCCCACCCCCTCACACAAACACACACATACTCACATCTAGGTCTAAATGCTCACACACTGCTGCATAACTCATTGCACAAGGTCTAGTCTCCATGTTTTCCTGACACAGAAAATATCCAGGACTATGGAGTCCAAATAGGGACAAAAGATATGGAGCTGTATATGACTGTATCTGAATGTGTAAAGACATTTTGATCAAATAAATTCAAATGTTTATATATGTAGAAAAAAATGGAACAAATAGATTACATTTTGGCATCCGTAAAGATATCTGTAGCTGTGTGTGACATTTTGTGAACAGATAAAAAAGCTTTGCAATGCATAAACAAGATTTGCACAGAGGTTTAAGGCCATTGCACACATTTTTTGAGTTTTATTGCATCCGACAAAAACCTTTACAGAGATGTTATACAAAGACGCAGTGAAGAAAATATGGTATAACCTGCAGGACTCTGGACAAACTTTGGTCAACAAATTGATTCCCCTCCCGTGCTTGTGTACTGGGACTAGGACAGTAGTCCCATTTAATGGTCCAGTGGAGCTATAACCTTAGCTTGACTTAACTATGCATGTAAGCGTACTGACAGATATGCTGTTAGGTTTGTCTTAAAAAATGCTCAGCTTCCAGAATAGCATAAATGTGATTTTTTTTTTTTTTTTTTTTTTTTTACTTTTCAAGCATGATGTCTGAATGTCTATAAAGCATGCTTGCAGTTGTCCAGCATATGAGTCCCCAATTTATCTGTAGCATTAGCCTTCTTAAGCATTAGTCTACAGTTAGCATTAGCAGTCCACTGACCCTCCCTCCTCCTCAGTTACACCATTTTTACCATAGCTTCACTTGTAATCTGAAGTTTCAGCTGTTACCAGTAGCCAGCTATTTCAGTTATTCTGGACAATCAAACTAGTCAATTTTTCAGTCCAATTTTACATATTATGTTATAAATGTGTGCATGTGTGTATTTTTAGGCAGTACCCTTATCACAGTGGGAGAGTACCAGAAAAGATTGGGGGGAGCTGAGCGCGAGCTCCTCCAAACCTCAGCTGCCACCTTCCTCACTCCGCTACGCAACTTCCTGGAAGGAGACTGGAGGACTATATCAGTAAGACTAACTGACTGACAGTTTTATTCTCTTAAGGGTTGTACACATGATGCATTTTTTGCATCCTCATCTTCATAGGTTTCAATGTGGACGTGCGGCAGGTATGCTCAAACACCAGGCTCACACGTTCCCAAGCGTCTGTTTTTCAGGACGCAACAGCGGCACCCTGATAAACAGAGTTCATCTTTTGGGGGCCATACAAATGCTGCGTCTTTAACTGCTGGAAAAATGAAAAATGGGGCGCCGTGCGCAACTATTGTGCCTACTTTGTGCCAGCTTTCAGGATGCAGAGACAGGTTGCGTCTTAAATTGCTAAGCAACCATAACAAGCAGAGCACAGTATCCTAGCCTATTTAACAGAAATCCTTAGTGCAGAGCTGATCTTCTTCAAGACACTGTTTTGGGCCTAAGATATTGTCCGTCACACAGTATGTATGTAGACATGTAGCCCTGCACTAAAATGATCAACTTCTTTATATTTACCACAGACTGGTATTTACGCAGAGCCCTTGAATAGATGTTCTATTCTATGGCTCTGTATTTCCGGACGAGGGGAAAGATATTTCTGGGCCGTGATTGGTTGTTTCCCATCACATGACATACAGTGCATGCTGCTGCATTTCAAAAGCTGAATGCTGTTTATCGCAGGACGCAGCTATTGTGCACTGAAAATAGGTGCTCGGGAACGCATGCGTGTTGCAACGGCATCACTCTGGCATTTGAGTGCACCTGCAATGCATCTACACTGAAAACAATGGATTTGAGGGTACAAAAAAGGCAGCATGTGCACAGCCCCTTGGAACACTTCTACTCACTACTACACTGGAAGTCCTCAGTGCTTAAACACATTCTGTTTGTATGAATACCCCCAAGTTGTAGGAGTAGTATATTGCCATGGACACATAGATGGACGTAACCACCATTGTGAAGCCTCATATTCAGCTTTCTTTTGTCGTCGCCATCTTGGATTTTTGGTGCCAGAAGTGATTAAAATTGAACAAAATGGTGGGGATAACGCTAACTGCTATCTTGGTTAGCATGGTGCATTTGCAGCTATGGTTAACTGTGATAATGCTAATTTTTGCTAGTAAAAACTAACAGGCTTAAAACTGTTAAAACAAAATGTACTTTCAAGAGAAACTGAACATCAGACTCATCAGAGGGTCTCTTAGTATGACCAAACACTGAACAAGACTTTTTTTAGATGACCAAAATGTTGCAAATAACTTGAATGAACTGAAAACACAATGAAATAGTGACAGCTACAGCTACACCTATACTCTTTTAATCTGGGGTTACCCCAGATAACCTCCGGCTGTGGCTCAGAGGTAGAGCGGGTAGTCCACCAATCGGAAGATCATTGGTTTGATCCCCAGCTCCTCCAGTCTGCATGCCAAAGCATCCTTGAGCAAGATACTGAAGCCTAAATTGCTCCTGATGGCTGTTCCATCGGTGTGTGAGTGACTTAAAAAAAAAACTGAGTAGCAGTTGTATGGTAGTCTCGGCCACCAGTGTATGAATGTGTGTGTGAATGGGTGAATGTGACTCGTTATGTAAAAAGCGCTTTTACCATTTACCGTGGTTACACTACCCAACTAATGTTTGTTAATTATGCATAAGTATAGGCCTTCATAACATGTACACATATTAGTTAAACCCCCTGCATACATTTGTCATAAATGTTGAAACCAAAACTGTTTTTTTGTACAAGGCTGTAAACGTTCATTTCATTTTAACATGGGGTTTATGGACATTGACTGAATCCAAGAGCATGGAATCAGAGGAACTGCAGTTTTTGGCAATTTTGCACTGGTTTTATTTTTCAGCCCCAGAGGTTGCCGCTTTATAGGCACTCATCAACACTTGTGCACTAAAACTGATTTTGCCAATTTCTATAGAATTTCTTCTTAAACAGAGCTGGTTGCTTCACTGTACTGTTAGCTGAATAAAAAACCTAGTGTTGCAGGGTTTGTTCTCTGCAGCAGATGCCTGGTTTCTGATTTGATGACTCCTGTCCTCTGCAGAAAGAGAGACGACTTCTGGAGAATCGACGGCTGGATCTTGACATCTGCAAAGCCCGCCTGAAAAAAGCCAAGCAGGCAGAAGCCAAAGCAGCGGTGAGTTCAAAACTTCACACTGTTACTGTTGTTTTTTGGCTGCTGTTCTTCTTCCTTTTCCTGTCTTCTGTAATATCACTTGAATCACAGTAAACATGAGACCCACAGCAACCAAACTGCAGAGAGTCAAAACTCTTTAGGCAACAGTGATCCCACTGAATCTGCAGGTGGTGGTACTATAACATCCACTTTTACTATTTAATCTATAACTTCTTAAAGTAGTAGTAATTTCTTTTGGCATCTAAGGGGCAGCGGGAAAAGCTGTGAACACAACACTGACATTTTATCTCCCAGCCCAGAAGAAAATATTAGCAGTGAATGTTTCTGCAAACACGTTACATTAGTGTGTTTCATATGTGTCATATCAACACTTATGCAGTTACATTATATATAAGCTGACTTTGTCATCTTAAGGTTCGAGGGGATGGTGGACGGTGTGTCACATAGGCAAGATGCCTGTCAAGCTGCAGACCACTGTTCAAGACCAACAAACAAAACAACTTGTGTTTGAACAAGTCATCGCTGTATTTCCAGCGGCATTTTAGCCACCATATGTGGGTGTTTAGCAGCAACCCATAGCTGTTTTTCGAATGGGGATTGTGCTCCACAAGCAGGTATTTTAAAACAAAACATGATTTTTTTCAAAACTATAATCAAGTGGGTTTGTGCGTAAACCAAACCACATGCATTGTTGAAAATTATAGTGTCAATACATCAGCTACATAATAACATGAAAATATAATGCATAGTGGCCAAAAAAGGATGAATCCAGCTTTAAAGATGACAAAGGATGATTGCAGTGAGACAAGCGGGCCTCACAGCTTGTACATTTTATGTTAAATAATTAACACAGTTGGTGTGTTGCATCTTGGGCCAGCTGTTCTCTACCATATCTGTACATAATAAGACTAAAAAAGTTCAAAGAAGGGCAGAACAGCAATATCACATATGATATGGAATAGCAAGAAGCAAACAACTCTGACATAGCTACTAACAGATGGATTTTTATGTCAGGTGATAAGGTCTTGGTTTCTTTAACTTTTGCAGTCATTTTGTTCCTCTTGTGTTACACTGAGTTGGTTGCTCCTTCAGATGGCATGGCTGCACTGACTACCTGCCCCTTAACATTTAATTTAAAAGCTTCTCAGATGCTCTGCTGGCTGCCATACATCAGTGATTCTACCTGCCGTGCCTCTTGCATCTATCTCCACCTCAGTAAGATAAGCTTTTTAATGCTGACTACAAGATGCTTTGTGTGAAGCCATCACAACTTGTTGCCACAGAAAAGTCATAGCAACACTCATTCATTAAAGTTTCATTGAAAGGCTGGTAGCATACTCTGCTGAAATTCCATTGGTCACAATGACACAATCAGCAAACATAAAAAAAAATCAAGCATGATTAAAACAAAAGAGACCAGGGGCCTTCATCAAGAAACTGGCTCTCTTTTGGTTAACTGGCTTCACTTAGCCAAACACTGTTGGTCCTGGATAACTGGTATCATGAAGCTGATAATCACCCGACTCTGGGGTTTCCACCTTTGTGTCTGAAAGAGGCAGAGTTGTTACATGACCACAACCATGACTGGAGTATCTAATATGACACACTGGGCAGTGATATCAGCAGGGATATTAGGTTACTGTAGCACACATAACATTCAGCAATGCAAAAGTTTATACAATATAATAAGAATAGGAAGATGAAGTATGGAATAAGTAGTATGGACTTTTTAAATTGGGTCTGCATTGTTTGACATCATGTTCATGGGTCAAAAATCAGTGTGAATCATATTACCCATAGAAGAAGAAAAGTCAGCATATTCTTGGCAAAACACCAAAGTTAAACAACATCTTTACTTACTGAAATACTAAGAGTTTGACCTTCAAAAACTCAACTATTGTGCCTCATCAATCTCTATCTATCTGTAATATGAATTCCTGGATATTAAATGTTTATCTGCAGTCTTCTGTAGTGGTCCCAGTAATATTTGTTCTTTGAAGCCCCTTTCCCACTTGACAAAAAAAACACACTAACATCCACTAACATCTTGTTTTGTCTTTAGTGGGAAAGGTTATAATCAGCATCTACTCCCGGGACAAATGACTCTGGGGTGGTCAAGAGTATTTTATCAACTCCAGCTCCAATATAAAAAAAAGAAGTAACCACTGCAACATTTTCACTGACTGCCATGCTGCTGTCCATGTTATGTGTAACCACCTTTTCCGGCATGTTCGTAACATTGAATATGACACATCAGTAAAACAACAGAAAAGCATACCTGCCAACACGACTCAGACAAAATAAGGCTTTCATCCAGGAGACCGCATCCAAAAGACACTTTTGGAAACCAAAAGTCAGTACTGTTTTAACTTAATGTTGTGTAAGGCACGTCCGTGCAACGTGTGAATCACTCACATGATGTATTTACTCCATGTTATGTGCTTATTTTAACCAAAAAACATGCTCCTTTTTATAAGTCTAACCAAATAGTTTTACTGCCTAAACCTAACTGCGACCGTTTGACAACCTTAACCACGTTTTACAAGTTTCACTCAGGAGACAGCCATGTGTCACATACAGCCATCAGAGGGTGCCTACAGCATCGGTAGCACACACTGAAGGTGCAAGAAAGTGTCGATATTTGACAACCTGGGATGAGAACCTGTTGAAAAACACTATAAGTGTACTGACATAGTATATCACAAGATATGGTTCAGCTACTGTATGTTTGAAATAAATAATTAAGGATTATCTGCGTCTCATAAAGCCTGCTGAGGACACATTGTTTCCTGTGGACATTCTTTTAAAGCTTAAAAACTCACCATTTGAAGTACAGTGCAACCAAGGCTTACACTTTGGTGCAGTATTTCAAGCCAGTCTGAGTCACACCCAGACTTCCTGTGTTTAAAAGTTTTTTGGATCCTTCTTTCATCTCATCTTTCTCTCTTACATCAATGCAGTGGTGTAAATTCATCACTCACTCACTAAGTCAAGGACAGATTTTTTTTTTACAGGGCTGGCCATGTCCAGCCAAAAATGAATACCAAAATTTGTCATCACTGACATATTTTGATCTAATCTTGTATACTTAACATGTTATGGAGCATTTGCATTTAGGTTAAAAGTGAGCCAGTTTGGGGCGACCTCTAGCTCACCTGGTAGAGTGTGCACCCCATATATGCTGAGTCTTCTGCAGTGGATGGATTTGATTTCCTTTCCTGTCTACCTTAGCAGCCCTATCAATAAAGGCAAAAAATGGCCAAAAATACTCCTAAAGCCAGCTTTGTATAATCACACAGTCTGAGCAAAGCCTAAAGATAGCTGAATAACATTACAATCAGGCTTGTGCTCAATGCAAGGTTGGGACGTTCAGAGCCAGCAGGAGGCGACAACTGGACAGTACTGAGCCTGGTTCACATTGATCACATGAGCCTGTGAGCTGTGTTCAGGAAAAAAAATAAATTGATAAAAAAATCTATATAAAAATCTCCCTCACCCCTACTTGGTGGGGGTGGTGTGTGTCTTCCTCAAGCTCGGGTCCTCTACCAGAGGCCTGGGAATTTAAGGGTTCTGTGCAGCATCTGTACATATATACACGTATATACACTGAACAAAAATATAAACACAACACTTTTGTTTTTGTTCCCATTTTTCAAAGATCTAAAACATTTTCTATACACACAAAATACTATTTCTCACAAATATTGTGTTAGTGAGCACTTCTCCTTTGTCGAGATAATCCATCCCACCTCACAGGTGTGGCATATCAAGATGCTGATTAGACAGCATGGATATTGTACAGGTGTGCCTTAGGCTGGCCACAATAAAAGGCCACTCTGAAATGTGTGCAGTTTTGCTTTATTGGGGGGATCTGGGGGGTCAGAAAACCAGTCAGTATCTGGTGTGACCACCATTTGCCTCACGCAGTGCAACACATCTCCTTCGCATAGAGTTGATCAGGTTGTTGATTGTGGCCTGTGGAATGTTGGTCAGATTTAGACAGATTTGTGAACAATATTGGTGAGAAATGGTGTTGTTTTGTTGTTTTAGATCTTTGAGTTTAGCTCATGAAAAATGGGAGCAAAAACAAAAGTGTTGCATTTATATATATATATATATACATATATATATATATATATATATATATATGTGACCAAAATATAGAGAACCCTAAACAAGCTAATAAAAACTTAATCTAATGGTTACAACACCACAACAAAAGAGGGAGCAGATCCATCAACATAAGAATGTAATTTGACTCCCAACTATTTTTAGCTGTAACAGCAATCAATGAATTATTTACAGTCATAAATAATTTCAAGCACTCTGATATCACACACCACCACCACCACCACCAGCTATCTGCACTACACTTACTTCTGCTTTGGACTTGTTGTTAATGATCTGCACCTGTGCTGCTTCTGATCTGTTGTGCTTTCTGCTGGTATAATCCTGGCTAACTTTTATTGTTTTTCTGCTAATCAATTGTAACTGCATGACTGTGCCAATATGTGTTTCCTCCTCCCTGCTCTTGTTTTTAGGCTGCACCTGATTTTCAGGAGACAAGGCCTCGAAATTATGTTCTTTCTGCCAGTGCATCAGCGGTAAGAGTCCCGAGTAAAAGGAGTGGCACACATGCAGGGTCTATTTCACTGAGCAGGGGCTAGGCTAACACGTTAATAGTCATAGAGCACTGGGACACTTGGTGGAGCCTTAGCACAGACACCAATAGACCAACAAAATGTTAATGCCAGACTACATAGCTGTTCGGAAAAAAATAACAGAGAAATGAAAAGTTGGGTTTATGAGCAAAAAAAAATAAATGAATTAAAAGCTGCAAAACTCGGCACACTTTGCTGCTTCAGCCTCACTTGGTTTGAAGATTAGTTTTAATGTCAAATACATTTGTGGAAATATATTGTTAAATGTTTTAACATTTACAACTACAATACCAATACCGTAAACCTAGAAACCATTTACAGCAATACACCAGTTGCACTGTTAATGTTGCCCACCTCTGTTTTCTGTATAATTAAGCAATATGGTATGGCAGCTATTAAACAACACTGCAAGATGGACACATTATAAATTTTGAATGATTCATTGTTTGAAAGTAAATGCAAGTAAAGGGCTGCATTTCTAACACTTGAATGAGTTAGGCATGTCAGACTGTTGCATGACCTTTGCAACATAAATATGATACCTCTGATGAAAGCATGTTTGTGCATGTTTAACTTCTGTTATTGTTGTTTAAACCCCCTGAATGTTCTTACTTTCTTCTTTATTTGATATACAAACGCTGTGAGAAATGCTTTGTCTTTTCAATGTACGAGCTACATGTAAGAGCTACATATAGCACAAGAGCTCCACACTGGTATATAATGATGTGTCTCTGATAAACTCTGACAAGTTTACAGTTGCCCTGGTTATAAGAGAGCACAACCCCTGTTCCAAAAAAGATAAGACACTGTGTAAAATGTAAATAAAAGCAGAGTGCAATGATTTGCAATTCCTGTTCAAAGGATAACTTCAACATTTTTCAACATGGACCCTATTTTCCCACAAATTGGTCAAAAAGACTGGTGAACAGCAATTTTTTTTTAATTGGTCCAGTAGTGAGCGTGTTGGCAGCGGCCGGCGGCCATGCAACAGGCTATAACGGAAGCACGTGGGGCAACTAAACACTGTCACTGTATGTCCATTAAAAGTGGTTATTTTCACCACAGACAGGCTCAGATTGATATTATAAGTGTCTGAGGTGTCTCTTTACCTTTCACGTGATGCATTCTGTTTGTTATTGCCTCTTTAAGCAGAAGTCTCTTTCTGAAACATCACCAGATGTCACTTGTTGCAGGAACACAACAGTGGAAACATAAGTGAGATTTTGAGAGAGTATAATAACTCAAGTAGTTTTTGGAATTTGAATTGTCAATATTATGGATGATTATTATTTGAGGTTGAAAAATGCCAAAGTCATCCTTTAACCTATATTCAGTTGTATTGAATTAGATGCCTGCAATTGTTTAAAAACAGTTGGGGCAGGAGCAACAAATGACTGGAAAATAAAGAACACTTGTGATTGGCTGCAAGCAAAACTGTTCAAATAGTCTTTTTCTCTAGATTAGGGTGCAAAAAGGATCACATACAAGGATCATTTGACTGGAGATGTTTCAATACCACTTGGTACTGAGTTACTTTGGTCAATTCCTGAAAGATATTGAATATGGATACCCTATCTTAAGGTTTAAGTGGAATTTGAATGCTGTAGCTGAATAAGATTTTAGTTTAGTTTATTGACAAGAATTCAAATACAACAGTAGAAAAATACAGGCATATATGAGATTGTCAGGGATGACATGATAATGTGGTCCCTGATGTTCCAGACCTTCACTACACAGCAAGATGGAGACAGATAGATGGTGTGGCTGTTTGGTCATTTAATCTATAACAGTTTATCATATTTTATAAATTGGTCGTATTTTTATATGTTAAGACTTTATCTGAAGAGTATCTAGTGGCCAACTAGAAATGAAGTAGAAGTATAAAGTAGCAGAAAATGGGAATACCTTACTTGAATGAGGAATCATTAAACTGCTATAAAATGACCTGTAGTTGCATTTTTGGTGATTTGTAAAGGAAAAGGTAACCAGGTTCAGACTGAACCACAGTCTAATTGGAATTTAAATGGTATGATGATCACATTTGCCCTCCTGTATGTCAGACAGAGTTAAAATGTTTGAGGCTTGTTGACTTTCAGTGCGTGTTTCTTTGTGTTGGCTCTGTACCTGGACCAGCTGCAGAGTGGCTGGGAGAGCTGGGATGTGGCAACGGATCCCAGTGAATCAGAGCAGAGGAAGGTTGTGCACATTTACATTTGTTAGCAACAGGATAGGATTAGATTAGGGTTAGAACTTTGTTATTTTGTGCTGTCTGTTCATGCTCATTGTCAGTGGTCAGTCTCCAGTGATTTAGTTTGTGTTTTGTGGTAAAGACCCCTCCCCCACCCCCCCATAATTCTACCCGATTCATTTCACAGTTGCTTTGCCAATTTTCAAGTATGCAGGAAGGAAAAGGGTGATGAGGACAGACAGCATCATTAGTTGTTTTAAACCCTTTAATATCCAGCCAGTTTGACTAAAAAGTCCTGTTTATAAAAAGTTCATCGGCCAGTTTCTAACTTATTTAGGGGATAGTTCAGATTTTTTCAAGTGGGGTTGTCTGAGGTACTTATCCATTGTCAATCTATGACCTGCAGTAGATGTCAGTCGGCATGTCCCCAGTTTGAAAATGTGGGCTGGAGTCTGACCCAGAAGCTAAGCAATGTACTGATGTGGAGGGTCAGCAATAAAACACATTTTAAATACCTAAGAAAGTCCTACCTACAACAATCACTATCAATTTAAGTGTATGTTATATTAGTAGTATTTTTTTTTTTTTTTTAAAGATATGTTTTTGGGCATTTTCCCTTTAATGGATAGGACAGCCAAGTGTGTGTGTGGGGGGGGGGGGGGGGGGTCATGCAGCAAAGGGCCACAGGCTGGACTTGAACCTGGGCCGCTGCAGCAACAGCCTTGTACATGGGGCGCCTGCTCTATCCACTAAGCCACCGACGCCCCATATTGATAGTATTGTTAACCACCTTACCTTTCTGTCAGACAGTGATTTCTGATGGGGCGCTGAAACTATTAAAGGGCCAGTGTGTAATATTTGGCATGGTTTATTGTCAATCTGAATCTGAATCTGAATATTCTCCCCATTAATATGTTTATACAAGTGTATGATCACTATAAAATAAAATTCGTTTGGTTTTCGTAGCCTTATAATTATGCTTTTACATATATATATATATATATATATATATATATATATATATATATATCAAGGGCCTTGCTTTAGAGAGGTTGCCATCTTGGGCCGCCATGTATGTACGGCAGACCGAGTGGACAGTCCAGCCAGCCAGAGAATAATAAATGAACCAACGAAGACAGTGGAAGGAAGGAAGAAGGAGGAGGAAACAGCAGAGAGTGTTAGTAGTTCGTCGATAGAGAGTAGTGAAAAGTTTTTTTAGTTATAAAGTTTGCGAATGGACCACACTTACCACGCAACAGGAGAGAATGAACCCGAACCGTCATCTGCGAGGAAAAGAAGACGCAACTTCACCCCTTGTGATGCACTCTCTGCAGCGCTTTTCCTCCTGATGATATATCTCCCAACGATGGTAGCACCGAATCCCATTCTGTGCATTCAGCCTCTTTTCTCACCCGCTCAGCATCAAACACATGGAGTTCCTCATCTGTATGCTCCGGCTCAAACAGGTATGGCTCTGGGTCGTGTCCGCTACAAGAAACTCTTCAAAATCGCGTTCAAAGTCGTCCATTGCAGCTACTATAGTCCGGAGATATTGCTAGGCTAAATAAACAGCTGAGCTCTGTTTACCGGCTACGCTGTCAGTCAGTGTGCGGGCTGGAGATTGGTGGAGCAGAGAGGGGAGGGGGGTCCCCACTCGGTATGGCAAACGAGTATGTGTGTAAAGTTATGAAGTGTGTCTGTTACGCTAGAAGAGTCAGAGTTTGGGATGGAGTGGAGTGTTACCGGAGTTTCTGGAGTGCTCAAATAAACTGGCCTTTTTCCCGAACACTCCTCTGGTCTCCTGCTCGTGAGGGATTCATTACAATATCGTAACATGGCTTAGATTTCTAAATAAACATTCACCTCATTACCCGACGGGAGGGGTGAGCGAGTGAGCCCTGCAATCTAGAATTTGACCACTGATGTCACTGTTTTCAAACCATTTTACACACTGGGCCTTTAATTCACTTTAATCAAAGCCAGACACCATTAAGAAAAACAGTGATTTAACATTGCTGAACATAGGAGCTGCCGGTCTATCACTGCCTCAAGCAGTTATTTTTTTGTGTTACTGTGTGACTTTGGTATTTAAAGTGGTTAGTTCAAATTCACCAAAGTCACACAATAACGTTAAACTAACTAACTGATCGAGGCAGCGGTAGACCAGCAGCTCCTGTGTCCAGTGAGCCAAAATGACTGTTTCTGTCAGTGGAGTCTGGTGACTCCTAAGAGAGCATAGATGTGAAACTGAAGCCGTTATCAGCTTTCCTGTTTGAATGGGCTGTCTGACGGAAAGATAAAACTGAAGCTGTGAAAATACTCTAAATATAGGAAACACTTTGGCTCCGATCACACAGAAAGCATTTGCGAAATGCAAGGCGCACTGCATTACCTCTTTTTTTAAAAAAAGTGAATGCCACTAGTAAAACAAAATACTTGCCGTGCATTTTTATTGTTGTTAGGCAACCAGCCCATCACCTCCTTACCCTAACCTTCCTGTATAATCAATCTACCGTTTATTTATTTCACAGTAATCAGTATCGAGTTCCTAAAATGGACAGGCAGAGGGTACTTGCTGTAGCTGTGGTTGAGGGCGAGAGGCTGTCAGCAAATAGTTTGTTGGGCACAGGGAAATGCTGATCTGTATGGGTACATCAGACCCTAAAAAAGAAGGTGGATCAGAGGGAGCACCACCAGTTGGTCCAGGAGCTTCACCTCCATGATGACTGTTTCAAGTACTGCACTTGTGTGCTTA